ATGTGACTGGCACAGTAGGTTTTAGTTGTGAAGTCTAACATAGTTTATCTGAACATTTTCCATGGAAATAGCGATAGAATAGAGAGAGGCTTGCAACGTTTCGTCTGTGAGAAATGAATTGGAAAAATCGTCACCCACAAGGATCCGGAAAGGCATTTGGTCTCTATCAAGACTGGAAAGTGAATACTGGTTAGCTCCTGGTCATATATGGCAGCAGTACGTCATTTTCGGTCTGGTTTGTTTATTGGAGGAGCCAGGCACTTGCTGGAAGAATACAGAGAAACAACCATTTTTCAGCATCTTTAGCGGTGGAATTGTATGTTTCGATTTTCACTGAAGGTCTGGGTTGAGTATAAGTTCCAGTAGGCACTCTAGATTGAAAGCAAAGAATGACACTTATGCACTCTTCTCAAAGCAGCAATTGGTGTTCCTTATCCCACAAGCTGACGTCACGTAGCTCATTTGAATTAATCTTAGCCAAGCGGAGATAATCGCTTTTTACTTCACTGTATTATTCGTTTTGAACGACTTATCAAACATTTTCAGTTTATTTTAAAGCCAAAAAGTATTTTTTGAATTGTAAGAATATCTTTTGATATAATAATCAATTAATGAGACAATTCTTTTTAATTTACTTTTAAAAATTTAAGTTAGAAACTTTTCTTGTTTGTATTTATCCTATTATTCTGTCGGACTCTTTTATATATTTATATATATATATATATATATATATATATATATATATATATATATATATATAGAGAGAGAGAGAGAGAGAGAGAGAGAGAGAGAGAGAGAGAGAGATAGATAGATAGATAGATAGTATTACTGGTATGTACATATTTCCAAGAGGATAAAATCCGGGTAGAGCTCTATGTACAAGACAGAGCAAGAATTTAATATAAAAGGCTCAAACACTAATATTCCATGTTTATAATTTATTATATTGGAATCGCAATCACGATCCAATTCATCAGACCCACAAATTCAAAAAAGCCTTTTTCAATTTGTAGGTCTAATAAACTGGGTCGTAATTACGATTCCAATGTAATAAATTATAACCATGAAATATTAGTGTTTGATATATATATATATATATATATATATATATATATGTGTGTGTGTGTGTGTGTGTGTGTTTTGTGTATATAAAATATGTAGACATGGAAAGCAAGATAACTGTCAGTTTGTTTAACACATTAGACCATGTGTAACTACTCTTTTGTGTTGGCTCTCTGTATATAAGTTTTTTACGGCTTACGCAAATTAGGGTAATGTGTTTTGAATTAGTTATAGTTTTGACGTCTGTTTATTTTAACTATTTTTTTATTTTTATTTTATATAGGTTCATTACTTTTTTATACATTCTTAGGTTCTGAAATTTAAATTAAGTTCATTCGATTTGGATTATAGGGTATTAGTTGTGTCGTTGTGTCGTGATGTGGTTTTAATAATAATAACAATAAAATAATAATAATAATAATAATAATAATAATAAAGACGATAATAATAACAATAATAATAATACTAATATAATAATAATACTACTAATACTACGACTATTACTACTACTACTACTTTACTTTAATGATCTAATAATAATAATAATAATAATAATAATAATAATAATAATAAGAAGAAGAAGAAGAAGAAGAAGAACATTATAACAATGCATTGGGCTGTATATATAATATGATACAGTGGAGGAATGGTTAAGTCGATAAAGGAGTTACAAACTTTGAACAGAGAAAACAAAAAAACAAAAACAAATCACCAATGATCGCCGTTTAAAAAAGAATAAAAGAAAAAAAATACCTTCCCTGTTCCTGATATGTTAAACGCGACCTCTGGGTTCATGTTGCCAAAATGTGGAACGTTCAGACCACTGTTGTCCCTGTTGTCACATCAACGTTGAAGTATATACCATCGAAATTTGTCTTCTACTGAGAAAATCGACATAAAGCCTACTACGTCATGTCTTCAGAAGTCGACGTTATTTGCCACTTTTTCATTTATATCAGTTTGGAGAAATACCAACTAAAGCTCCTTGTAATTTATTTTAATTAATTATTTACGTGTTCCGATTAATGTCAAGGTTTCAGGTCCATATTTGAAAACATTTTTTTCCAGTATCTCAGTTCTTCCGACTATAGTTAGCCATTGTCAAAAACCATTTTTTTTGTTATATTGTTATTAAGATACTTATATATATATATATATATATATATATATATATATATATATACAATTTAAGATCTAAAAGTGAAGCACATATTTTCATATAATGCTCAAAATTATACAGATAGAGAGTTAATAATATTATTTTTTTATATATTAAAAAGAATTATTTGACTGCAATTTTCCCCGATTCCGCATTTTCGTGGACCCAAAAAAAAATAAATAACGGATATTCAAGTACAATTGCAAATATTTAATATACGGAGTAACTCTTTGAAAATGGACATATGACCTCCACACTGTAGAGTCGAGGAAAATTACAGTTAAGTAGTTTTTTGTATATATATAATATATATATATATATATATATATATATATATATATATATATATTAGATGTTGTTATTCCTGAATAGTGGACGGAGCGATTGCTGGAGGGTCAGTCTACGAAACTCTGAAGTTGAAATGCTGAATATAGCATCAATCAGTTAAGTGAAGTAGTAACATTTGTATTAATATTATTATATATATGTGTGTGTGTGTAATAATTTATATGGATATGAGTTTGTGACTCTGGGTGACACGCTTTTGCGATCATCAGATTTTATATATATATATATATATATATATATATATATATATATATATATATATATATCGATAACTAGCATCCTATATAGGTCCCGTTACCGAAAAAAAGTCTACCTGTGACGGAGGCCCTTTACATAAAACATCATGTACCAAGTATAAATCTCACCTTATTCAGCATTTAAAATGGGTTGTTTTTTTTTTCTTTTGTTAATCCGAAAAAAATATTGAAAGAAATTAACAACATTTAAAAACAAACCCTCTTGAAAATAACTAAAGAACTGGCCGAAAGCGCTTTGAGCAATGGACATTACAGATAGTGTTTGCACTCTTTTCCTTCCAGAAAACCGAAAATTGTATTAATGTTGGAAAAAACTATAAAAAAAAATCTTTACCTGTCATATTCAACGAAACCTTTGAAAGAGGGGTTATATATATATATTATATTATTTTTATATATATATATATATATATATATATATATATATATATATATATATATATGAGAAGTTGATTTTCTGACGATCGCAAAAGCATGAAACCCAGGGTCACAAACTCACATCAATCCAATAAATATATATATATATATATATATATATATATATATATATATATATATATATAATTATATTTAGGCAGCAGGCCCTCTTTATACAACTCTGCTTAAAAATGTCAGACAAGGTATTGCGGTTACTTCCCTTGTTAACCTCTGAGTCATCTAATTTAATAATTGTGTATTTGGGCAGCAATTCATTTTTCGTACATATTTCATTCAAAATGACAGAAAAATATATTTTAACATATATCTAGCCAAATTCATTTAGAGTTTTTTTCTTTTGTTAGTAGGTATCCATCAATGTGATAATATAAGATCTGCCAGGATGATCTGCCAGGAAAGGTCATGTTGTAAGAGCTACGTCGCAAATTTAATGTAGATGACCTTGCGATTAAACCACTCTCAAAAGATCAGAGTAGTACTTTTTATGTCAATTTAAAAAAAAAAGTTCTAAAATCACCAGCATCCTTCGTTCGTGGGCATATGTAGTCGTACCAACACAACAACCTTAGTCCGAAGATACGCGTCACAAGTAAACTTCTTCTTCCACTGAATTAACAGTAGATAACTGATAACTGACATCCATTAGATATGGCACGTGGAACTAGAACAGTCTACCCCAGCGAGCAAATTAAAGGGTTCAGTTCGACATTCCAACCACCTGAAGAAGGCCGGATCGTACAATGGCCGAAACGTTGTGATAAATATGGCATCAAAGATGAGAACAATAGTTCGAATAATGTAAATAGTGTACATAATACCTCATCTCATAAATATAGAGAAATTCTTCCAAAAATTCAATTTTAATATATTTTCCCAGTCCACACACACACACACACACACACACACACACACACACAATATATATATATATATATGAAAATATGTATATAAAATATATATATATATATATATATATATATATATATATATATATATATATATATATATATATATATATATATTAATTTTATATATATATATATATTTCATTTTGTGTAAGATTGTACTGTATATATATTTAAGAATATGTGTATATATATATATATATATAATATTTGTATTATATAATAATGTGTGTTTATATATATATGTGTGTGTTCATATATACATGAAAAAAAATATATATATGTGTGTGTGTGTAAATATATATATATATATATATATATATATATATATATATATATATATATATACATATAAATATAAAAATAAAAAATTGTGTGTGTGTAAAATAATTATAATTTAAATTGTTTGAATATCGCTTGACAAATGAGATCTGCCTTGCTCATTTGAGAATTGATTCAATCTCGGGATGGTCCAACAATGCTTACAAAAGTGCCACTCAAATTAATGCCATGAACAAGGCAGGATATTTCGCAGAGGCATCAAATTGGGTTTAGGAACATTGACGGTGGATTTAATGTTGTGTGAACAGCAAACGAATAGCGGACAATGCAAAAGGCAACTAAAAATAGGTTGGGAACTTCGTGTTGAATTCTGATTGGTCGGAATGTAGGTAATAAAAAGAATTAAAATAAAAAGGATTTTTTAGCAGAAATACAGATTTATAGAATGTGACAGCAAGAAAATGGGCCAGACAACAAGATCTCTTGTTTAGATCTCAGATCTTCCAGTCCAACGCGATAGATAAAAGACTTTCACAGTCGTGCAAGGTGATGGTCAGAAAGAAGAGGAATCAGTGAACATCAACTGGTCAGTTACTATGTGTACTTAACTCTCTTCACCCAAAGCGAGTTCAAACAAAACACCCGAAATATTTGAATGGGATGTTATACTATATGAACTTATTAGATGGTTCCCTTCCATATACAGGTCAATAATTTTTCTCTCTCTCTTCATATATATGAGGAGGCACAGTGGAGTAGTTGATAGCGGCTCAACCTGAGGAATCGGAGAGCCGAGTTCGAATTCCAGTGTTTGGGAAAGGTATTAATTCTCTTCTTCTCAGCAGGACAGACTGAGTTCTATAGCCTTGGATGGCAACATCTAGAAGATGGATAATTCTGAATTCAAAATCTGCGGCACGTAGTGTTTAACAGTTGTAATATTGGAGGAATCGAGACTTTTCTCATACAGTCCCAGTTGCGGTGGACTGGCCATGTCTTGAGAATGCCTGATGACAGGATACCGAAGATCCTAATGTACAGACAGTTAGATCAGGGCTACAGGAATGTAGGACGCCCATGGCTAAGATACAAAGACAAGCTGAAAAGCAACTTGTCAGCAGTCAATATACCACATAACACCCTTGAGCGCTTAGCCTTGGAGCGGGTAGAATGGAGATCAACGTGTTTTAGTCGACTCTGCTGTTTTCAATCTGCTTGTCTGAATCATCTCCGAGAAGCCAGAGCACGATCTAAAAGGTCAGCCAATCTAACAGATCTCATCCCACAATCCTCACTCTTGCTCCATATGTGGCCTCCTTTGTAAATCACTAGCGGGTCTTAAATGCCACTTAAGATTATCGCACAAAATTTCATAACTGAATCAATTAAGCTGTCAGATCCTCATACGTCGAAACCGACGGGAGATCCATTATATATATATATATATATATATATATATATATATATATATATATATATATATATATATATATATATATATATATATATATATATAGTTATATATATTTGCTATAATTATGGGATAAAATTGCTCAATATCAGAGATAATTTATATGTAAATATAAATATAATTTTGAACATTGAAGTCAACATCAAAGACGACATATTTATGCTGCACGCAATCGTCTGGTGATCCGACGATTAATTCTAGCATGAAACAAAAAAATTCATCGATAATTTATTATATATATATATTTATATATATATATATGTTTGTGATATGTGTGTGTGTGTGTGTGTGTGTGTGTGTGTGTTTATAGTTTTAGCTATTGTTTCTTTTTTAAGTAAATATTAGGGACTGCAGATTCTTAATGCTCTTAGATAGAAACCTATAATAATTCCAGATTTAATTTTAGAAGAGTGGTTTCTTATATCCAGAAACTGATCAGATCATTTTTGTTTGCAGCCTTTCTGTAAACGTCATAATTGAGTTCGTTATCATTTCTATGTAGAAATATACATAGAAAATACATTCAAAAACCTACAATACCAATATCATTTCATCCACAACGCAAAAAGAAAGGCATACAGAATATACAAACGAAACAAAACTAATAACATATCCGCAATAATAAATACATAATACTACCGACCAACTCTGCCACGTTCACTGTCCAGAATAATCTATCCCATCTAAATTTTAAAATAGTCACAAACACATCCAAAACCATTATGGATATACTCAGATCTTCAAACAGTAATAGCAATAATATTTCTGAAGCAGACATTTTTAAAATAAATTGCCAAAACTGTTCCCCCTAATATATTGGAGAAACAAGTAGAAATATAAAACAAAAAAAAAAAAAAAAAAAACGCATCTATGAGCACAAAAGAGACCTCACAAAAAACAACTTATAGTCATACATAGAAATAAATTCAACCACAATTTTGATTTTAAAATTGCTACACTCATAAAAAAAAGGAAATAACTCACTCAGAAGGAAAATCCTCGAGAGTGCCGTCATTGAATATTATCCAAATATTAATCTACGCCCAGGTTTTTTCCTATTTCACCTTTCCTAACAGACTTACTTCTCTCCCAAAAACACGTACAGAACAGTATCGTGAAATAAAAAAAGGGTTGAATCCGTCAACACAGCAATAAAAACAATATCTCCGCACGTGACAGTCATTGACGTAATTTCAGTTAACAGTATGAAAATAGCGTCCTCTAAATGCCTCCAGTTACTAAGGACATTTTGGTTTTGTTATTATTAGATACTTTGTTATAATAAATTCATTTCGTTTTTTGCCTTGAAAAAAGTCCACATTGGACAAAAAACGCATCGGCAACTATTACAGTTTTGTCATTATTGTCATTTTATATTTATAAATATATATATAAATCCCATTCTTTTCCTATCTATATATCATCTTTTTTATCTATATATCTATCTATTCATCTATCTATCTATCTATCTATACACATTATATATCTACACACAAACAGACACATATATAAATATCTATCTCATACTTTTCCTATCTGTCTCTATCAGTCTTCCTATCTATCTATCTATCTATCTATCTATAAACACATATATATATATCTACACATAACCACACACATATATAAATATCCATCTCATTCTTTTCCTATCTGTCTATATCTATCATCTATACACACGTATATATCTACACACAAACACACACATATATAAATATATAGTTCATTCTTTTCCTATCTCTCTATATCAGTCTTTTCCTATCTATCTATCTATCTATCTATCTATCTATCTATCTATCTATCTCAATCTTTTACTATCTATTTCAATCTGTTTCTATCTATTTCAATCTTTTACTATCTATTTCAATCTGTTTCTATCTATCTATCTTTCTATCTATCTATATTTATCTATAAATTTTTTCAATCTGTTTCTATCATTCATCTCTATCTTATCTATAATTCTTTTTTTTTATCTATTCATTAATCTATTATTATCTGTCTGTCTATCTATCTATTTCAATCTGTTTCTATCTATCTATCTATCTATCTATCTATCTATTTCAATCTGTTTCTATCTATCTATCTATCTCTATATTTCAATATCTATCTATCTATCTATCTATCTATCTATCTATCTGTCTGTCTATCTATCTATTTCAATAAAAAAAATCTGTTTTATCTATCTATTTAATCTATATTTATATTCTATTTTAATCTATTATTTTAATCTATCTATCTATCTATCTATCTGTCTATTCAATCATATTTTTTTTCTATCTATATATCTATTTCAATCTGTTTAAATATCTATCTTAATATCTATCTATCTATCTATTTTAATATTTACTATTTCAATCTGTTTCTATCTATCTATGTAAATATCTTTTAAAAAAAATCTATCTATTTATTCTATCTAGTTATTTCAATGTATCTGTTTTTATCTATCTATTTATCTTTCTAATCCGTCTATCTATCTATTTAAATATGTTTTATCTATCTATCTATCTATCTATCTATCTATCTATTTCAATCTTTTACTATTTCAATCTGTTACAATCTATCTATCTTTCTATCTATCTGTCTATCTATCTATTTCAATGTTTCTATCTATCTATCTATCTTTCTATCTATCTATCTATCTATTTCAATCTGTTTCTATCTATCTATCTATCTTTCTATCCGTCTATCTATCTATTTCAATATGTTTCTATCTATCTATCTATCTATCTATTTCAATCTGTTTCTATCTATCTATCTATCTATCTCTCTATGACCATATGTATCCATCTATCGATCCATTCTACCCCCGTTAATAATGAAGCCCGTTTTCTTTAATGTGTTGTTGCACCGATTTACAAGTGTTGATATTAAAATTATGCATTTTTATCTTTTGAAAACGCCAACAGGATGGAAGCATTTCATTTCTTTATTAGTTTGCCTCCTGCTTTATCGCCATCCTAAGCTAACACCGTTATCTCGCCAAAAGCACACCATGACAAAAACGAAAAGAAAAAAAAAAAAATAAGACACAACTCAAATATCCATGCAACACTAGTTAATCTGTTTTTGTCTGGATGCGAACCAACTTGCTTTATTCTTTAAATGGTCGGCATTATCGTATTCTTCGGCAGTATTATTGCTCTTGTTATTATTATTACTATTATTATTATTAATAATATTATTATGTTTCGTTTTCTTCTTATTATTACTATTATTATTATTTAGTAGTAGTAGTAGTAGTAGTATAACACTTCCGGTTTCCAAAAATAAAAAGGAAAAAAATGCCAGTGTTTAACAATATTGCGACATTATGTCTCTCTACTTCAGCTGATATAGACAAACAACCTAAAGTACACATTCTGAAAAAAACAAAAACAAAAAAAAATGAATCCACTGACCTTTCAACTTTTAAAACGCATGAAGAAAAGTGCATATGCAAATAACACGCGACTCACCCAGTTGGAATGAACAGAATAATAGAGGAATTCCATCAGATTGACAATAATCTAGTCGAATAATCGCTCTTACAAAATGTGGATGCTTCTCCGCCAGGCAATATCTCTCCTTCGAAAGCAGGGATAGGTTTATTGCCCAGGGGAATGTGTCGAGGAGGCTTGGTCAGATTTTGTTCCCATAGTATTGCCGTTAAACCAACTCTAAACCTCGACCTTGTGTCACATTTTTTTAAAAAAATAGCGGATGTTGCGGTGGTGTAATCGATAGCGGCTTGAAGTCAATAATCGTAGAGCCGTTCGAATTCCAGTCAGGTTCGTTACATGCACTTACGCGCTAAGAGACTTGGAAATGCTATGAATCTATCTATGATTCCAAATTTTCAATAACGACCCTCCTGATATCGTCAGTTCTCAACAGTATATGTGCTGATCACATAACTATTTACTCCCGTTTGAACAGCGTGTCTTAGCAATTCAACAAATTCAAATTGGTCGATGATCTTCAAAAATTTAAATGCAATATAAATCATTATCGTCTGTCTTCTTAATTCCTGTGTTTTATAGTTCTTTTTACTTCATAGAGTCTTTTTTTCTCACTTTGTCTCTCACACTCAGTAACGCTTAGCATTTTAGTGGCATTATTGCCTTACTTGAGGGTAAATGATTAAAACTTCTATAATTAGATATATATATATATATATATATATATATATATATATATATATATATATATATATATATATATTAACTGATTGAAAAATATGGTTCCTTAAATACACAAAATGTGTTTCAAAACTGAAGCTAAAAATTTCAAATTTAATTATATAATTAAATTAAAAGCATTAGTTCTGCTTCATCTTCAAGCGAATTTTGGAATAATTTATTTTTAAATTTAGTTAGTTTTAAAAGCACATACATTCATAATTGTCTTTTTTTTTTTTTTTTGTTTCCAAGGATACAATCATTTAGACAGGGGCGGTAGCGTGTTCATTTTTATTAACTATTGTTGTATCAACTATGAGTTATGTTCGAAATAGAGGTTAAGTATAGATAGGGTAGGGGTGCATTTTTCAACGAATTACGACATCCGTTCAACGCATGTCGTCTGGTTTTTTTTATCAACGACAAAAAGTTTTTCGGCATTTTTTTCCGTTAAATTTGTACTTGTATGCATAAGGATTGTTTCTAAAAGGGGTGTTTGGATTAGAATACATTATATTGAACTACATTATTTTTAATTTTAATTACTAATAGACTATATTTCTTTTTAAAACAAATAAATGTAATAGAATTACTTAAATTATTTAAAAATTATCATTACATATCAAAACATGGTAATTTGGGTGAATGTAGTAATGAAACCATATTTTAAATCAGTTAATTTATAATATTTATGCTTTTTAAATTTACATTGAGCACTGTTTTGTAAAAATAAAAATATCAATAAGAACACCGGATTATATATCTTACTGTTCTTTCTGTTTTTTATATATATATATATATATATATATATATATATATATATATATATATATATATATATATATATATATAGATAGAGAGAGAGAGAGAGAGAGATAGATAGATAGATAGATAGATAGATAATATTAGTGGTAAAAATATACATACATATGCAAAATATATAAATACCCATACATGTATATTTTTAGAATAAAAATTCCAAGAGGAAGAATCCAGGTAGAACTCAATGTCCAGGACAGAGTAAGGATGTAATAAAAAGGTTTAAACACTAATATTCCATGGTCATAATTTATTCCATTGGAATCGTAAATACGATCCAATTCATCAGACCTATAAATTCAAAAAGAAAACAGAAAAAAAACAACTCCGGAAATAAAAACAGCATTTAGAGAGAGTGTAAGTATGAGGAGGAGGGAGATTAAACCTTAACAGAGAGAATTTTAGGAGAGGTGGATGGAAGGGGTTTAAGTAAGAGAAAAATGAATGTTGTCTGATGTCTAATGCATAAAGATACATTTCGTGGTGACATACACACACCATAGACAATCTAATGTGAGAGTAAGAGGGATCATGGAATATTAGTGTTTAAGCCTTTTTATTATATATATATATATATATATATATATATATATATATATATATATATATATTGGCATAAAATAACCTATAGAGGTGTTGATACCCCGCTAAATAAAAATAGCCAAACCAAACTTTCCAACGGCATTTTCATACTTTTACATATTTTGCTTAGTTTCTGGAAGGCATATTTGTTCTTTTTCCATGTGCTTCCGGATTTCTGTACACATTATTTTTTTTTATCGTGACTACAAATTTATCTTCGTACATTAAAGAGTGGATCCTTTCTTCTTGCTTTCTTTTACTATAGTATCTAAGATTCAATATTCAATTGTCGCTCTGAATCTATAAAAAGAAACTGTCGTTCACGTATGCTGTTGAAATTATGCCCGCCAATGATAAATTCTTTTCATAGTCTTACATTTCTCTTAGAGCACTCATAATCAAAGTGGGACCCGCGGGTCACATGTTACCCGTTTCGTTTTCTGAATGACACGCCGAATTCCATAAGGAAAAAAAAAAACGTTTATTAAAATTTTCTTTATTTCGTTTCGTCCTCACTTGTTCACTCACATGTTCTCATGCATAACCATATACATAAGGATAAAGCCCAATGATTCTTGAATTTTGTGACTTTTCATTGAAGATAACGGTTTTCATCATTTTAAACGATTGGTGATTTTCACTAAGGAAAACCATGCGTGTAAATATCATTTGCTTTAGAAACAGAACGTTCATAATAATTTTTTTTTTTTTTTGTCTGGAGAAGAAATATATTTTTTGTGAAGGAACATATATTTTCTCTAGAGAATAAACATATATTTTTAATTTAAGTATTAGTTTTTATTTTTATTTTTAAATGAACAAATAAGAAACACATCACATCCAACCATTGTGATAAAATTATATCGGGACTTCATTTGTTTTAATTATTGAGAAAACTTTTCTCCCCAAAAAAAATGAACCTTTTACCATTATTATTATTATTATTATTATTATTATTATTGACTATAGAAATAGATAAAATAACAAACAGGCATGGATTGTCAGTGGTCAGGAATTAATGTAGGCATTGCTGACAGAATATGTCTATCATATGTATCATAGGTAAAAAAATGAAAGATATACTGCGGAAATGGATATTAAATAAAGAAGAAAATGATTCTCAGTGTTCAAAAGTTAATGTAAGCAGTTCTGATAAGATTGGATTATTCTATACCAGTCATGGGCAAAGTGGGGGCCAGGGGCTCATGTGATCCGTTTAGTTTACTGAATGGCATGCCGAATTCCATGAGGACATTAAGGTTTATTAAAATTTTGTTTATTTCGTTTCATCCTCACTTGTTCACTCACATGTTCTCATGCATAAACACATTCATGAACAATGATTAAGCACGACGCTTCTTGAATTTTGTCATTTTTCGTTGAAGGTAAACTTTTCATCATTTTAAACGATTGGTGATTTTCACTAAGGAAAACTATGCGTGTAATTTGATTTAGAAATAGGACGTACATAATATTTTTTTTTTTTTGTCTGGAGAAGAAATATATTTTTTAATTTAAAAATTAATTTTTATATTTTCAAATGAATAAATAAGAAACAAATCACTTACAAAAGTGTGCGTCAATCATTGTCATCTCTTTATGTTTTTTGATTCTTGAGAAATCCTTTCTCTGAAAACAATCAACCTTTTACCATTTCCATGGATGCTTACACGTATGGTCTTTTGTAATGAAAATGGTTGAGGCAGCTTCAATGAAAAATTACTTTGAATCTTTTTAGTAGTGTGGCCTGCCTTATGATGTGCCATATCTGATGTGGGCCCACTGGTCGGAAAAGCTTACTCATGACTTTCTTAGAGGATTAACAAATTTATTAGGATAAACTCAGATACTTAATAAATCTTTTATGATCATGTCATACCTGGGAACAACAGCAATTAAGAGGTGGTTGCGCGCTCCTAAAATCTCCAATCTCCCGATCAGGATATTTGCTACCGGATGTAGTTTATCGTCATACCCAGGACTAGTGTACTGCGATAAAAATAAAATGTTCATGTTTTGTTGTTGTTTAGTTCAAGTTATTTCGACCATCTCAGTCATTTTCAAGAACCATGTGGTGTCTGTGTGGTAGGCAGAATTTCTTTGTTTACATCCTGGTATTATTGGGAAGTTGTAAGTTTGAAATAATCTATAGTGCTATATATATATATATATATATATATATATACCACACACGCACGCAAGTGCGCGCGCACACACACACACACACACACACACACGTGGGTGACGTTGTGAAA